TTTCTTTTTTTTTCTCTAATGAATATAGACTACTTTTTCAGGTTCTTAAAACATTTTTATATTTGTTGGGATTAAATAATGTAGCTTGTAATATTCACTGTCTGATCTGGGAACATGGTCAGTAGGTCCATTCATTCCAGTGTTCTGTTTTTGATTTCTAAGGTGGTATTTCAGATTGCCTTGTGTATGTCAAGTGGAGCTTAAACAAGGTGAATTCATTTAGTTTTTATCATAAATTGAAATGAAAGAGGAAGACAGTCTCTGTTATATAAACAGTTAGATTTATGTACCATCATTGGAACCTGTAAACATGATTGACACAGTGTACTGAAGTCATAATTCTTAGGCTTTTACGTTTGACTGTGGGCTAAGAAATTGAACACTTACAGAACTTTTAGGTTTATAGATTTTAGGTACCTGGACTAACCAGTCGAAATAATACTGTGATCATAATTGATTGGATTTCTAAGGAAGGGTGACTATAATTAAAAATTTATTATGTCTTGGTTTGTTAAGAACTTTTTCCATGTTTTATGCAGGCAGCAGTGATTTTTACCCTATGATTTATAAAAGAGGCCAGGCAAGCCACTTATTTTGTTTATTTCTCAGTTACAGTGGGCCTTAGGAAAGGAAGTTTGTCTTTCTTGGAAAAAACAAAAAAACAAACACAAAATTTGTTCATTCCATTTGTAGTAACATTGATCAAAGAGAAGCTTTTGAGAAAAACCGGGGTGTGTATAAATAGCCTCCATTCATACCCTGATAGGAAGCAGTGGTTGATTACAAAGTAATGGTAAGTTGTAAACAATGTGAAGTTCTACACCTGATGTTGCAAACTGATGGTTCATCAGCCACATAGAATCCTGGAACTGTTTGATTTGGCCTAGCAAGTGATCCTGTAAAACACATTCTGTTAGATGCTTACATCAAAAATTTGATTCCCATGAGTATCTGGAACTGGATCACCTATATTTTTAGCATGGCATGTTAATAGCAGTGATTTGTTTGAATAACACACACACACACACATACACACACATTTGCTCTATTTAAGTAGCATTTCTGTCTTTTCGTAAGGTGTCCCCAGCCAATCCCAAATGCATTTAACTTTGCAGCCTCTGTTCTCGTGTTTATTGAATGCAGAAGGAATAGTAGATCTAATATTGCTAAAGCTGGAGTGGACGTCATGGTGCCTCAGGTTAAGCCACCACTTGGGATGCCCACATTCCCTGTCAGAGTGCTGGTTTGAGTACTGCCTTTTCCATTTCCAATCCAGTTTCCTGCCAATGCTCCTGGGAAGCAACAGATGATGACTCAAGAACTTGGGTCCTGGATAGGGTTCCAGGCTTCTGGCTTTAGCCTAACCTAGCCCTGGGTGTGTTGTGAGCAAACCAGTGGATGGAAGATAGATTGCTTGTTCTCTTTCTCTGCCTTTTAAGTAGATGAACATAAACATTTTTAAAAAACATATTGCTAATGCAGCTGAATCATTAGGTTGAGATAAGAAGGGCCAGATTTGTGGTCTACTGGCACCGGCATTCCATATTGGAGTGCCTGTTTGAGTCCTGGCTGCTCTGCTTCTGTTCTTCTTCTTCTTTTTTTTTTTTTTTTTTTGACAGAGTGGACAGAGAGAGAGACAGAGAGAGAGGTCTTCCTTTGCCGTTGGTTCACCCTCCAGTGGCCACCGCGGCCAGGCCCGCTGCAGCTGGAGCACTGCGCTGATCCCAAGGCAGGAGCCAGGTGCTTCTCCTGGTCTCCCATGCGGGTGTAGGGCCCAAGTACTTGGGCCATCCTCCACTGCACTCCCGGGCCAGAGCAGAGAGCTGGCCTGGAAGAGGGGCAACCGGGACAGAATCCAGCGCCCTGACTGGGACTAGAACCTGGGGTGCCGGCGCCACTAGGCAGAGGATTAGCCTGTTGAGCCGCGGCGCTGGCTCTCTGCTTCTGTTCTGATCCAGCTTTCTGCTGATGTGCCTAGGAAGGCAGTAGATGATGGCCCAAGTACTTGGATCTCTGCCACCCATGTGGGAGACCTGGATGGAGTTCCTGCTTTCCTGGCTTCAGCATAGCCCAGCCCTGGCTGTTGCAGCCATTTAGAGTGAACCAGTGAATGAAAGCTGTATCTTTCTTTGTCTCTCCCTCTTTCTGGTCTCTCCCTCTCTCTGTCCTTCTACCTTTCAAATAAATAAATAAACAAATAAATCTTTTAAAAACTAGGAGATAGGAAGTGTGAAGGTATATATAAGAAGAAGTAGTTGGAGAAGAAATGGCTTCTGTTGTAATCAGCTGAGATGAGAGAGTAGAGGAGAGTTGAGAAGTGCAGTTTTGGATGTATTAAGTTTGAGTATCTTTTAGAACATTTCATTGATGATTCTAATTATATAATGGGTATACAAGTGTTTGGTAGGAGAGAAATATCAAGACTAGACATAAAAACTTGAGCTATATGGATGATACATAAAGCCTTGAAATGAAGGGCCAGCATTGTGGTGTAGTGGGTTAAGCCACCATCTGCAGTGCTGGCATCTCATAAGGGCACCACCAGTTCAAGTCCCAGCTGCACTACTTCTGATCCAGCTCCCTGCTCATGTGCCTGGAAAGCAGCAGAAGATAGCCCAAGTGCTTGGGCCCCCTGTACCCATAGCAGAGACCCAGAAGAAGCGTCTGTCTTCAGCCTGGCCCAGCCCCGCTCGTTGCAGCCATCTGGGGAGTGAAAAGTGGATGGAAAATCTCTGTCTTTTCTCTCTCTCTCTCTCTAACTCTGCCTTTCAAATAAATGCATCTTTTAAAAAGAAAAGAAAAAAAAGTCTCGAAATGAAATGAGATCACAGCGGGAGCAGAGGACCCAGAACTGATTCCTTGTCATAGCAGCCTGCAGGAGTGTGAGGGAAGAGGAGATTAAGAAAGGACCCACCAGTGAAGTAGGACAAAAAGGAAGGGAGAATGGTGTCTTGGAAAGACAAGTGTCTTAACCTAGTTTCACCCTAAAAGCAGAGCCTGAAGCAGGGGCTTTTCTGAAGATAATTTGTTTGGGGACACGTTAAGGAGGAATGGAAGTTGGAGTACTGGGGCAAATGGAAAAGGAAGAAGGGAAAGCCCATGTAAGGTTGCAAAATTGAGCTGATCACTTCTGTGAGCAACTGGGGCTTGATTCTGAGGAAGCCCTCTGTGAAGATTAGAAGAAAATGCCTTCCTGTGGGAAGAAGAGATATTTATCTACCAGGTTCCATCCTGGGTTGGTTCAAGGGTTGCCCATCATTAATGCCTTTACACTTCCAGGTTTGTGTCCGTCTCTGGGTTGCTGAAGAGTTCCTGTCAGCAGCTCGTGTTGTAAAGCCCAAAGCAGAAAGTATGCCACAGATAGTGCAGCCAAGGGGCGGTGGGTTAGCTGGGATGAAAACATGGGATGGCGTGCACAGGAAGTGCCCTATACAGCCACCTGGGACTTCCATTAAATGCTGCTCCTAAGCACAGCCTACCACAAAGCTTTCAGGGTGGTGGCTGTAACAGGATAGTTAGTGAGACGTTGTTCATCCTCTCAGTCTTCTACCATCCCTTTCAGATTTCCCTCCCCTTCAGCCAGCACTTCCGCAGGTGAAACTTTTCTCTTGTACAGTGACCTGGATTTTCTCCCTTTTAAGGGATCGTTGCCTTTAGTTGCCTTATCCCTTTCATGTGTAGTTGCTGCAGCTGTCTACTGGTGTGGCAGCACCATTTGAATCCCCTGGGTTCTCAGTGTGTTGTCTTGTGTCGGCATTGTGTAGCATCACCTGTAGATCCTCAAGGTGCACTTCCCATATGATCACCCCTTCCTAGCATGCTGGTCCAGAGTGAACAGCCCAGAATGACTAGCACAGAATTTCTGTGGGACTCTCCCCGTGTCTCCTGGCAGAAGCCCCCTTCTTGTTCTGGAATCAGAATTCCAATCTAGTGGAGCCTGTGGTTGCCAGTCCTATTTCATCTGTTGGTTCATATTTTTTTTTTTAAAGATTTTGGGGGGGAGGGGATAGGGCTGTTTTTAACCTGTCGGAGACATGGTTCCACATTTCAGCCTTTGAAAGTCTGGGTCAGTTTAAGTTCATTTACTGTCATAGGGGACGGTGCCCCATTTTCTCAAGATGTGACCCAGCATCTTTTATATATAGAAACTGTTGTTAAATCTAGGATTCTTGAGAATTGAATAAATACTTAGGAAAAGGAGTTTTCATCTAAAAACTAGTTAGTCAAATACTGCTTCTTAATCTTTGTGAATGAAGCTAATTTGTTATAAGTGACTGTTGTTCTTAACTGTGAAGTTATAATAAACTCACCCTGAAGATTTCATTTAACCTAAAGTTGTTTTAGGCTTTGAAGTTGTGAAACTGTTACATAGAGAGGACTTTGTGATTCACTGGAATTTTGCCAAATGTGCCTCCAGTGAATAATAGGTTATTGACAGAGATTAAGGTCTTTATTACCTGTTGTAAAACTCATTTTTGATACATTGAAATTGATTGATCTTAAGCTAGTATAAAAATATATAAATATGTCTCTTTTGGTAATTTTAGAATCTGGTTTAAAGAGTAAGGAGGAATTAACTAACTTAACTTTCTGTTTTGTTTCTTGCTTTATCCACCTTGAAGAGAATTGTGTACTTTGCTTGTTACACCTATGAAGTTGCTTCAGAAAAAAAAAAAATTGAAGCCTGTACATAGTTTTTTCATAACGGGAATTTCCACGACCTTTTTGAAGACCCCCTTATATTAGTTTTCAGTGTCTTCCGATGACAGCTTAGTTGTCTTACCAACTATTGGTGTTTTTCAGGACTTAAATGATACTATACTCTGAATAGGTCTTCCCTAAACGTGGCTGAGTTAATTCAAGGAGTTAAATATCTATATTTGTATTTATGAACCATGCCTGTGATAGCTTTCATGAGCTTCCATTTTTTAAAGTTGGCTATAGTAAAAACTTGTTTGAAAATAAAATAATGTTTCACATTTTTTTCTTTCTTTAAACAGATAGAAGGACAACGACAGAATCACCAGCACTGGCTGAAGGTAAATATGTCTTTGGGAGAAATGATTACTCAAATATAAATGAGAAGTCTTGACTTTAATAAAAACTGACATTGACTAAATATTATTTAAGAAAAATATGCTATACATAGTGTTGAATTTCTAAAAATATCTTTAAGAAATACTCTTTTAGTTTCTGGCTTAGAAAGCAGTGAGGAAAATGTAAATTAATTGGAACTTTTTTTTTACAGCTTTCTTCCAATAGGAGAGGTATGTGTTTTTCTTTGAATTTCTTTGTAAGTCATTTTAGCTGTGACCAGTATGGTTGATTAAGATCTAAGCCATAACTTCAGTGGTTTAAATATACATAAACTTTTTTATTGGAAACTAGACAAGAAACACGTTGGTTTTGTACCCCCCCCTTTTTTTTTAACTCTTAGAAGAATACTTAACAAAAATAGTAGTTACCATTAAAAAGGGTCCTGAGTGCTTAAACATTTGTAGTCCTGCAATTTTTTATTTATACAAAGTTAGTAAGTGTTTTAAATGTAATTTTAAACATACTTTGTGTTCCTAACATAAACATGATCAGCTTAAAATCATTTCTGTGTTCTTACTAATCATTCACAAGGGATGTATTCATTTAAAGACTAGCCTCTCTCTCTTTTTTTTTTTTTTTTTAAAGATTTATTTAATTTATTGAAAGAGTTACGCAGAAAGAGAAGGAGAGGGAAAGAGAGAGAGGTCTTCTTCTGGCTGTTTCACTCCCCAAATGGCTCCAATGGCTGGAGCTACGCCTATCCAAGCCAGGAGCCAGGAGCTTCTGAGTCTCCCACATGGGTGCAGGGGCCCAAGGACTTTGCCATCTTCTACTGCTTTTCCAGGCCATATCGGAGAGCTGGATCAGAAGTGGAGCAGCAAGGACTTGAACCAGCACCCATATGGATGCTGGCACTGCAGGCAGCAGCTTTAACCACCTATGCCATAGTGCCGGCCCCTAGCCTGTCTTTGTATTAGAACTGATTTGACAGGGTGGTCCTTGCGAATTGTCATCACCCCACCATGTGGGAGTTCCAATACAACTGGTTTTGTGCAAAGGATGATCTATTTGATAATCTGCTGAAGCCTGTGAAACTCACCTCAGAATAATGATTCTGATTCATGACTTTATGAAGAAAAATACATAGGACTAGAAAGGAAACATGTTATATTGAAATACTGTTAACAGATATTAAAAATGCATATTTGTAGTTGAGAAAATATATGTTTCTCATGTGAGAAAATAAGCTTTAGGGCAGTTCTGTTATTGACTGTAATTTTAAATAGTCACACAGTTGTAATATGAAAATACCATTGGTTCGTATTAACAAATCTGTGGGAGTTTCTAATATTTCTGTAGTTTGTTGTGCTGCTTGTAGAAACTAAAGGGCTGCTAATTTTCATACAGAGATTAGTGAAAAGGTTCTCATCCAGATTCACTGATGACTGCATTCTCTGTGGTCCCCAGATTAAGACCTCTTGTTACTAAAAAGACGGGTAGACCTTTCTTTCTCCACCGTACTTTAATTGCTATAATTTTTTTATGTTTTATGTAACTAATCTTAAAGAAGTAGAGTAACCCATTCATTCTTTAAAAATGTTCAAATAATGTAGGCTGGATATCTATGAAATAGCTCTGAAGAAGCTGTTTGCTGGTCAGTGGTAACAGAAACAATAGCCTGTTTTGTGGGAAAGAGAGTAGAAAGTAACTATTAAGCCTTGAAGAGTGCTTGCCTTCCAAGAACTCAGATTCTTATTAAGGAATGTAAGTAAATATTAAAAAAATCAGTATGATACCAAAAGTTTTTAACGAAAAATGCTATAAATGTATTGGGCAGAGTATATAGATAGTAAGTGCCCTGACACTTGTGTTCTGGAAGCACCAAAAAGACAAAAGACGCGCCGGCACCGCCACTCACTAGGCTAATCATCTGCCTTGCGGCGCCGGCACACTGGGTTCTAGTCCCGGTCGGGGCGCCGGATTCTGTCCTGGTGCCCCTCTTCCAGGCCAGCTCTCTGCTGTGGCCAGGGAGTGCAGTGGAGGATGGCCCAAGTGCTTGGGCCCTGCACCCCATGGGAGACCAGGATAAGTACCTGACTCCTGCCATCGGATCAGCACGGTGCGCCGGCCATTGGAGGGTGAACCAATGGCAAAGGAAGACCTTTCTCTTTGTCTCTCTCTCACTGTCCACTCTGCCTGTCAAAAAATGATAAATAAGAGAAATAAAAAGAATAAAATCACACACACAAGCAGTCACCAAGTGTTTTTAGTCCCTTCGGTGATGTGACAGTGTGCCAGCCTCAGATACGGAGGCCCTGGTATGGGCTCCCTAAGTGCCCAGGCTTGTACAGCACCTGGTCACTTACTACAGATAAAGAGAACAGAGGATCTACTGAGGTTTGGTTGATAGTTGATGTTGCTTTTGAAGGAAATCTGCTGGGTGTCTGACTTGAGTGCTTGTTGTGGTGGTGATTCTGGATTCGTTCAGTATCATGTGGCCCTGCTGTTATATTTAGGAGATGTTCTCTCTCTCTCTCTCTCTCTTTTTTTTTTTTTTTTTTAAGATTTACTTATTTATTTGAGAGTCTGAGCCATCCATAGAGAGGAGAGGTAGAGAGAGAGGTCTTCCATCCACTAATTCACACCCCAGTTGGCCACAGCAGCTGGAGGTGAGCCGATTTGAAGCCAGGAGCCAGGAGCTTCCTCTGGGTCTTCCCACGTGGGTGCAGGGGCCCAAGGACTTGGGCCATCTTCCACTGCTTTCCCAGGCCACAGCAGAGAGCTGGATCGGAAGTGGAGCATTGGGATGCTGGCACTGAAGGCGACAGCTTTACGCGCTACACCACTGCGCCAGCCCCTGGAGATATTCTCAAAAGCTGCATTGCCAGATACATGGGATTTAGCCCTCCCATCACCTTCCTCCCCCTTTTTAAACTAATTTGCTGCCTTATCCAGGTCACGAAATTTCTCTGATGTTCAATTATGGTTTCTTTTTGATAACATTAGAGGATTGAGCTGCCTGCCTTCACAAATCCTTCATTCTTCCTGGACTCAGGTTTTCTCTCCCTTTCTCCCCTTTACTTTCTTCATTTCTGTTTTCTAGCTCCCAGCAACTGTGGACATATGGTAAAATCATTCAAAGTAGTTCAGTGATTTGAGTTTTGATTTCTATGAATATTTTCTTTTTGTATGCTCTATGAAACTTTAAAAGTTAAAGTAATTAGGGGCTGATGCTGTGGCATACGGGTTAAGCCACCACCTTCAATGCCAGCATCTTGAATGGGTGCTGGTTCAAGACCCAGTTACTCTGTTCCAATCCAGCTGTCTGTTAATGCGCTAGAGAAAGCAGCAGAAGATTGCCCAAGTGCTTGAGCCCCTGATACCCACATGGGAGACCCAGAAGAAGCTCTTGGCTCCTAGCTTTGGCCTGACCCAGCCCCAGCCATTGTGGCTGTTTGGGGAGTGAATCAGTGAATGGAAGATTGCTCGCTCTCTCTCTCTCTAATTCTGCTTTTCAAGTAATAAATCAGTCTTTTTTTTTTCTTAAAAAGCTTTAATAATTAGATGGCATGCTTAGTTCAAAAAAGTTTGTATTATATACTGAATTTGGTATTAATAATGGCTTCCAGAATTGATTTAAAATTCCACAATGTAAGAAAACAAATTTTTTTTTATAAATCAGCTGTTTAAAATTTTGATCAGGCCAGCGCCATGGCTCACTAGGCCAATCCTCCGCCTGCGGCACCTGCACCCTGGGTTCTAGTCCTGGTTGGGGCGCTAGATTCTGTCCCGGTTGCTCCTCTTCCAGTCCAGCTCTCTGCTGTGGCCCGGGAGTGCAGTGGAGGACGGCCCAAGTGCTTGGGCCCTGCACCTGCGTGGGAGACCAGGAGGACACACCTGGCTCCTGGCTTCAGATCGGTGCAGTGCGCCGGCTGTAGCGGCCATTTCAGGGGTGAACCAATGGAAGGAAGACCTTTCTCTCTCTCTTTCTCTCTCTCACTGTCTAACTCTGCCTGTCCAAAAAAAAAAAAAAATTTTTTTTTTGATCAGCTTTCACAGTGTTATTTATACAAAGGTATAAGGCCTTGACATTTGAAAATAATCACAGAATATACTTTTTAAATTTACCCAGTGGTCTGTCTCTTCACCTATAATAAAATAATACTTCAAAAAGTGATGTAATGAAAAAATATGTATATTAGGTTACAATTACCATCACCTTGGCAACATAGAATATAATGAGTGCCTTGCTGAATTCTGTTAAGCCTTTTAAAAGATACTGAGTTACAAATGTAGAAAGCTATTCAAGTGTGTTTTAAAATAATTTACTACTAAAAAATGTATTTATTTTTTGTTTTTGTATTCTGAATCATAGTTGGTTTATTTTCTATTTAGAAATTATGCTAGTATTAAATTGTTTCTTTCAGGAACACTTGAAATATTTCCTGCTTCTTTTTGGATCAATTATATGTACTTATATTTATGACTGTGTATAGAACTATAGTATGTCATACACGGTAAGATTTCATTCATTTATTTAGTACTTACTGCATGCAAGGCCCTCGTCTGTTGGATGTTTTTTGCATACAAAAAGTTACTCAGGGAAAAATGCTTCCATTCCCCTTACTACTTCAGCTTATAATGTTTAAGAAGGTCTACAACCACTTATAAACTGTATTCTCTTTCCAAAGCTAATCCTCACAATTTCTAGGTAGGAGATGTCACTTTTTGCATATGTGAGTATATGTATATATTCAGTGGGTAACTAACTTTGACTTCTCTGTATGTATTTGAAGATACTTACTTTAGATATTTAATGATTTATCAAGTGGCATGGGACTTGTTTGATTCTTGCTAGCCAATGAGAATTGGGGCCAATGAGGAAGAATTAACTAGGGTGTGAATTTCAGCTTAATATATTGAGTTTTGTGATTCTTGACAGCAGGCTTCGTGTCATGTTAATTGGATATCTTTACTGAAGTTTCTAAAATGTTTTATAAAAATTTACTAGAGTCTAAAATATAAGTCATGCAGAACAAAGCATTTAAGCAGCAACCAGATGGCTACTTGGATAAAAAGTTGTAGACTTGTAGACTAAGGTTAAATAGTCAAAGTTGAGTCTTCAGTTTAACTTGGATAGTCTCTTCCTGATCTGAGATTTCTCTGTTCATTGGTGATTATAAACCCATTCTGTTTTTTGTTTTTTTGGTTTTTTTTTTTTTTTAAGATTTATTTATCTGAAAGGCAGAGAAGCAAAGGCAGAGAGAGAGAGAGGTCCTCCATCTGTTGGATCACTCCCCAAATGGCCACAATGGCTGGAGCTGGGCTGATCCAAAACCAGGAGCCAGAAGCTTCCTCTAGGTCTCCCTCATGGGTGCAGGGGCCCAAGGACTTGGGCCATCTTACGCTGCTTTTGCAAGCTGTAGCAGAGAGCTGAATCAGAAGTGAAGCAGCTGGAACTTCAACTGGTGCTCATATGGGATGCTGGCACGCGGCAGTGGCTTTATCTGCTATACCACAGTGCTGACCCCCAAGCCATTCTGCATAATGGCTCCATTCCTCACAGGGACTGCTAGAATTTTTTTGTTTTTTTTTGACAGGCAGAGTGGACAGTGAGAGAGAGAGACAGAGAGAAAGGTCTTCCTTTGCCATTGGTTCACCCTCCAATGGCCGCCACGGCTGGCGCACTGCGGCCGGTGCACCGCGCTGATCCGATGGCAGGAGTCAGGTACTTATCCTGGTCTCCCATGGGGTGCAGGGCCCAAGCACTTGGGCCATCCTCCACTGCACTCCTGGGCCACAGCAGAGAGCTGGCCTGGAAGAGGGGCAACCGGGACAGAATCCGGCGCCCCGACTGGGACTAGAACCCAGTGTGCCGGCGCCGCAAGGTGGAGGATTAGCCTAGTGAGCCGTGGCTCCGGCCAAGGGACTGCTAGTATTAAGAAGAATGGCCAGTCTACCCAGAAAATGAAGGGATGCCTCAGAAAATACCTTATCTTTTAACTCAAATTATGATGAGAATAAAGGTAGAACAGCACATTCTAAGAAATTTGTATCCATTTCAGTTGTAATGAGACTGAAGTCTTCTGCTCCCATCTCCTTCCTCCTGTGAAATTTCTGAGGGGAAGATTCATGAACAGTATAGATTTCAGCCTTTCACTTACATAGGCCTCTTTCCCAGGAAGGCCTTGCATTTCCCCTTTGCTGTTGTATAGTGTCTGGAAGAGTTATCAGAGACCTCACTCCTGGAGGGTGTCTAAGGTGTTACATGAAAAGGATTGGGTATGTCTCTGTAGCCCTTAATCTCCATGCACAAAAAAGAAGAATAAAAAATACTACTTCTGAGAATGCCTGTTGGTCTTAGGATCAAGATTTTAAGGATTTTGGCTTTCGTTGTTGTAACAAATAAGAAAGTTAGTTCACTGGTGGTAAATATTGTGTGAGAATAATATTTCTGTGTAAGGCAACTTTAATGTCTTAGTCATAAACCTTTTCCAACTAACCTTGTGTTTGATTTCTTTAACCTTTGTGAAGCTTCTTATTAAATGATCCATTGGTAGGTAACACGTTTACTGTAAACTTACTACGTAGTGCCTGAAGTCATAAACTTTGTTTCATTTGACCCAAAGGCAACTCCATTTATGAGAAGCCCATGTTTAGACATTTTATTTTTTAATGAAAACTTTTTACTTTATTAAATTTGATAAATGCTTATTGAGTACTGGCTGTGTGATAGATTGTCTGCTAGCAGCTAAATTTTCAAAGATTAAAAAAAGTAGACTTCTTGTATATTTTGAAGAACTTTCCTGAAAATTCATTGAGGAAGTGACATGTTCGATTGTTTGTAAACTGTTCCAAAGGCTAGAAGGAGCCTATGTGTAAAATGGATTCGATAGCAAAACCAAACAAGAACAGAGTGAAAAATTATAGGTCAGCCTTACTTACGAATAATTCAAAGTAAAATATTACCCACTAAATATAGGAGTATGTACAAGTACATTTTGAAATGACCAAGTAGACTTGATCCCAGGGTTACAGGGTGGCTTGGCAGTAGAAAATGAATTTATAATTACAGTATTCATAGATTTAAATGACCAAATGTTTGACATTGCAAAGATGGCAGTTCTGTTTTGTAATAATATATACATTTAATTCAAAATTCTATCAGAAGTTTTTGTAGAACCTGACAGTAATAGCATGGGTGAATGAAGGGCCAAGAATATCTAAGGCAATTTTTGAAGAATTATTGCTTAATGAGAAATCATGGACCACAAAGAAAAGATTAAAAATTGGATAGTTGCCACAAATGATACCATAAGCAAAGTTAATACGTGTTGGAGACCAGAACAAAGTATTTGCCTGTATGTGTGCATCAAAAAATTGGTATCCAAAATTGTTAAAACTCAATTGGAAAAAAGAAATGATGGCATATCAGTCAGCATTGAATTAGGGTTTTGTATAGAGGATGGGTTATAAAAATTCTAGGAAGGTTAGAAGAACGAGAAGGGATAAGAGACAGAGGAGATAAAAGATAAATAAAAGTAAATTAATAAAATAAATAAAAGAGAGAAATTGCTGTCTTCATTAGACTGGAATTCACAGGCTTCCCCTGTTGTAATCCTGGCATTGGATATTGGGATTATCCCTACTTATGTGGATATAGTACCTCCTCCTGCTTTTTCTTACCTTTCTTCTGCCTCCTAGTGACTAACAGGAACTCATCTGGCAAAGATGTCTGAGGAATGTGATTTATCTCTCAGCCCCAGCAATACAGAGAGGTAAATGGGCTGAGAGAGAGTAAGATTAGTGGCTTGAGTGGTCAGGAAGTGAATATGCATCTCACACGTGGCCTATGAACATACACGAAGTGCACATTTTGATTGGTAGTAAAGAAAATGCAAATTCAGATATCTAAGATATTTTACAATCTAAAAATAAAAAATTGAGAGTTTGGATGGGAAAGAGGGAATCTTTGACCAATGGGACAGTGAATTGATAAGAAGTACTTTGGAAAGTAGTGATAAAGTTACAAGTTCCTTGTCATTTCCAGATAGCTGTTATGAAACACTCTTGTACATGGGCACAAATATATGTATTGTATTAATGTTTGTGTAAAGCATAATGTGTTGATAATATAAAATGGAAAACAATCCCATTGTCAATGGGTGACTGAATAGTTTCTTTGAATAATTGAACAGTAAGTAGTAGCTAATATGAATGAATGTGGATACTTTTCAAAAGCTGTTGAGTGAGAAAAACAAGTTTTCATAGAATATATATTGTTTATGCAAATTGAAAGGCAGTATAATACCATGTTAATACAAACCTTTGTAGTAAAAATTTTAAATGTTTGAAAAGGAAGCATCCTTCTATTTTTTAAGATGTATTTATTCATTTGAAGGTACAGTTACAGAGATGGAGAGGCAGAGGCAGAGAGAAGGAAGTCTTCCGTCCATTGGCTCACTTCCCAAACGTCCACAGCAGACTGAAGCCAGGAGCCAGGACTTCATCTGGGTCTTGCACGTGGGTGCAGGGGACCAAGTGCTTGGGCCACCTTTCGCAGCCTTCCTAGGCCATTAGTAGGGGCCTCAGTCGGAAAGTGGAGCAGCCAGTACTGGAACTGGCACCTATATGGGATGCTGACTTTGCAGATGGTAGTTTTACCCACTATGCCACAGCACCAGCCCCAGGAAGCATCATTTTTTTTTAATAGGTTTATTTATTTATTTGTTTTGAAAGGCAGAGTTAGAGAGGGAGAGACAGAGAGAAAGAGATGTTCCATCCACTGATTCACTCCCTAAATGGATGCAACGGCTGGAGCTGGGCTGATCTGAAAACCAGGAGCCAGGAGCTTCTTGTGGGTCTCTCACGTGAGTCTGTGGACCCAAGGACTTGGCCCATCCTCTGCTGCTTTCCCAGGCACATTAGGGAGCTGGATCAGAAGTGGAATAGCTGGGACTTGAATGTTGCCCATATGAGATGCTGGCACTCAAGACAGTGCCTTAACCCCTATACCACAGCGTCTACACCCCACAGCGCCTAAACCCCCCAGGAATCATCATTTTAAGATGCTGTTTAAATAAGGAGAGGGGAGAAAAAAGTTGATTGGGGTAGATAAGTGGTTAACTACACAAAGAGAGTAGGCTACCTGAAGCAGATATAGTTGACCCTCTGTATCCACAGGTTATACATTTTGCAGATGAAACCAAGTGGGGTTCAAAAATCTTTGTAAAAATAATTTGCATCTGTATTAAACATGTAGACTTTTCTCCCTAGCAGTTATTCCCTAAATAATATAATAAAACAGCCATTTACCTGACATTTGTATTAGGGATTGTAAGTAGTCTCGAGATGATTTAAAGTATAGGGAAGAATGCATGAAGGTGAGATGCAGATGCTTTGCCCTTTTATATAAGGGACTTAGACTTCTGCAGATCTGGTATCTGCACAGTGTCCTGAACCAGTCCCGTGTGGATATCAGGAGATCACTGTATGGTAAAAAAAAAAGCATTACAGC